CAAGTTGTCCAACAGGATGAGGGCAGCAAATCTGAAAGTCTGAGGGTCCCAGAGAATCTTTCAAGGAAGTCCAAGAAATCCAAACTATTTTCTTAGTAATACTAGTATTGATTCTTTCTCAAAGAATCAAAATTTGCACTGACTGGGCAAGAGAAATAGTGGGCAAAGCTGCAGGCACCTCAGCATGAATCATGACGCTAGCATCAAGCGAGTCACTATTTTCCTTGTACTCAGAGAAGAAAAAAGGTGGGGGGTGGGGGACAAATTTCAGTTAACAAAGTCCTTAAGCTGTAAAAATTTCATTACGCCTCTACCCTCGAGTATACATCTTTTTAAGACCCTATTATGCCGAAATGAGAAGTGCCGGCTCTACAGCATGTTGAAGCGTGAGGCATGTGTGCTGAACTAGCGGCCACTTTACGTGAACACATTACATTTTTACTTGCAAGAATGACTGTTGACAGACAGCGGTAATTCAGCATTTTCTCTGAAATGAAGCAAGCCTGTTATATACAGAAAACAACTGATAATATTTGTTGCCCATGATAACATTTCACCTTTCAAAGGAAAATAAGAATTTTGAAAAATCTGTATCCATCATCATGAGCTTGACAGCTTTCTAATACTTAAAAAGATTTTTCTGATGAGATCAGTTATATTATTAAAAAAAACTATAAACACACCATAATCAGATGTTAATATTCTAGAAAGAACTGCATTAACTTAATGGACCAGTATTTTCCAAATGACCAACGCATGTTATAAAATCATGTAAATGTCAAAGATCCACTATTTATAATGCAAGACAGATCAAATGGATTTTAATGTAACAGAGAACAAAGCTGACAATAGTTTCAGATTTCATATCACAACGAATCTTTAAGAAGCTACCTGCTCTGATGTTTTAATAATGTATCAAAGAGGAATATCCATAATTATCCAAAACTATTAATACTCTTTTCCAATACTTATTTGTGTGAGGTCAGAGTTCATTATATACTGCGAACACAGTGCCACATTGCATTGAATGCAAAAGTAAATAAGAGAATCCAGTCAACATTCAAGGATTTACAAAAATGAAAGCTAGTGCTATTTTTTCACACTAAATTGTTTAGATTTGGAAATTAATTATTTTAATAGAACACACTATTTATGTTAACAGGTAATGGTTTTATCTTTAATGAATTAAAATGGTATGCAAAATTTCTTGGTTTTAACTTCTATACAATACACAAAAACCACAAAAGCAAAGGTCCTTTGGGATCTTGAATTTTTAGATACATAAATGGGTACTGATAACAAGAACACCTGAGAACAGCTAGACCAGGGAAATTAGATTAGTAAATACTGAGTATGGGTGTTTCTTTTGCTAACTTAAACAAAATTTTTATTTCCATGGCCACAAAGTCCCCTGAAAAAGATTTTCTTAAAACAGTATAAAAATGCTTTTGAAGTGCATAAGGGGTTACTTAGTATTGTCCTACAGAGTTTGGTTAATACCTCCTTGGATTTAATTGTAACTCCCCTACATGGTTTTGTATGAAATTTTTTATAACAAATATTCTAACTATATCAGATGTTTACGATAACATTTAAAGCTGAACTTTTATTTTTAAATAGCATACAAAATAGTAATTTGTCACACTGTTTTTATCAAGTCTTTATTTAGGTAACAAGTTGGTTATGTTCACTGCATTGTATGAAACATCACAATATCATACTGGAAAGGTACTATCAGTACAGGGTTGGATCAGAGTGGACAGTTTGAACAACAACCATTTTGCATTCTTCATTCCCTATCTTTTAACAACCCCCCCAAACCCAGTCAAGGGACAAATAGCTTTTAACATCATCATGTAAAGCACTTTAACTTACAAGGCTAAAACCTAAAGAATAAATAAAATATGTTGTGGCAATAATTCCTTTTAGACCAAAAAATCAGGTGCACAGTAAATCGAAATGATCAAGAAAGCTGTACTTAAATGTGTGACTCTCCAGAAACAGCTTCAGGAAAATGTTACAGAAAATACCATGAATTCCATTTCACACAGGACCAGATGATGACTCATTTCAACTACACACAAGGGCAATTACATCCTGCTGAAACACAATTTGAACAGATAGGAAAATGTTTACAAAGCATCCACAACATGTACACCATGTACAAATGGATACATTCATTGCTTCTCCTACCCCCACACTCCTTTTAGATAAATATTTCACTCTTCATGTTCAGCATTAACTGGATACATGCAAAACTCAAAAGAATTCAAGAATTCAAGGTTATTGTAAAAATAGAATTAAACTAATAAACTTCAAGTACCTTATGTGACAGCCACTCCGTACCGTGCCCAATGTTATAAAATGAAAGGTTACTGAACCCATGAAAATATCTCTGTAATTTTTCCTTAGATCTAAAATAGATAATTTTAAATGTATTTATAGTCATTTCAATGTGATATTCTGAGCTTTTAAAATAACGTAAACAATTAAAAATCATACCAAATTACACAAAACCTGTTGTATCTTAAAAGCTGAAAAATTAAAACTATAGAAACCCACATGTAAAACAAAAATCACAATTTACATTATAAAGGCAAATTTGATCATTTAAAAAAAATTTGCAGCAGTGAGATGTCAAAGCAAATTATAAATAGCCATAAATTAATCCATTTGGTTTCAAGAGATTTTTTTTTTCTAGTGAGAACTGAAGGATGTAGTAGACACATGCATAAAATTTGTAAGGGTTTATAATATTATTGCCAAATACACTTTATGTTGAAGCAGGCAACATTACAATTTGGACATTATTGGAGAACCCAGTTTGGTAATACAGGTAAAATTGGGAAAAAAATTAAATAACAATAATAAATATAAATCCTATAGTAAATTGCTCAAATGAAATTTTAAGCCACAGAGCTGCAAAAGGCTTCCAACTTGGTGAACTGAAAAAAGGAACATCTCATACAGTTCTTTACTCTTACATGCTTATATGTTGTGTGCCTTAGTTTAAAAAAAAAATAATGTATCTTCAGAGTACAGCTAACTATATTCCCATGCACCTCAGGCATATTCGTTATTTGTGGTGAAATAACTCCATTGGTTTCTAGGGTCAAAAGTTCAATACAGATGTAACCAGTATGTCTGAGGCTGGCAAAAATACTGTAGTACAGGCAATGCTACAAGTGGCAATTACCAGAAAACACAAATATGAACAAATGATGGGAAATGCTAATGATTTTCTGCTCATATCACAAAACGCTGGGAATCCACAAGAATATTTTTCCCTTGTATTGAAGAAAATTGTGATTAAAAGTTTTTTCCCCCAATTTTCAGAATCAAAAGCATTTTAGAAGGTATATAAGGCTACCATGGGTCTTCTAGATCTCCAGCACCCTACAGGAAGAGAAAAGGAAGAATATTATTACTATTTACCTACACCACTTCCAGGCTGGACTGAATTTCAAAAGAAAACAAAATCAGATGAACAAGTTACCTTCCTTTCTTTGTCTGAAAAGGTACTTTTACAGAGAGAGTTGTGTGTATTGTATACTGCGTGTATACACACATGGATCTATCTAATACAGATAGATAATTGGTTGGGCTTTTTCCTCCCCTTTCCACCAAATGACTTCCTCTTTCTCAAACCACTTAAAAATATTCTGGCATTGGAAAAATAGATCAAAACATCAGCTATATCCAAAGATTCCAAAGCTTCAACTTATGACCTTAAGCAACTTTAGACATATGTTAAACATAAAACATGAAAAAGCAAAGTTAAAATGTTCTACATACACAATTGTTTTAAAAAATACCCTAATGTGACTTAGTTGTTTGTATTTTAAAAACTTATTTTGACGAAGTCAAACTCAGTCAAACTCATATCTGCCACCACTATTTAAAATATCTTATACTTCTTGCATTACTAATCTCTGACAAATACTTCTGGCAAAACTCAAAAGTCTTGCAATCTTTAAAAAGCGCATCATGACAACCTTCTGACATGTTTACATGTGTTCATACTGTCCAAAGATTAATATTTTGTGTCACAAAAGGGGGTTAAGAAACAGAATAGATTTACTTTGAGTAACCAAGACTTCTCAAAAATTTTTTAATTAATGAAAAACACACCAAACCAAAAGTTTTCTAAGTTTTATATAGATACAAATGAAATTCAAATTATTTTTCCAATATACCAAACCTGGTTGTTGTTTTTTTAATTAAAAATAAGTACAACATGCATAGGTTATTCCACATCACATGCTTTATTTGGACTTAAACACTTATAATTTCATTCTAAACACTTGGTTGACATACATTTGGATGTATGTAGTTAGGCTATACAGAATATACAAACCAAAGCTGGATGAATAATACATAGATATTTCAAAAATGATGTTTCAAAAAAAGGATACAGAAAAAGGAAAAATAACCACACATCCGGAATCTCAGAACTACTAAAAAATAAAACTACAGAGAGGCAAAATATAAACAATTCCAAGAACACACAAATTATCATCCTTGAAAAAAGAAATTACAGGACAGCATCTGCCATTCTTTGAGGAACTAAAATTACTAAAGAAAACACAAACTCATTACAAAGCTAACTATGAATGTACTAATATGTGAAGCAGTATAATTCTACATTAACAATTTTTTCCACAATATAAAGTAATCTTGCTAATCAGTAATTTCTAATCCTTTCCTAGTATGAATTTAACTACTGACTTTAATAACTGGTAGCCTCATTTCTGGCATACAATATGAAATGACATGTAATTTTATTAAATTCAAAGTACTAGAATATAGCCAATTTTAAACTATCTGATAAAGATGTATGCAAAGGCCTTCTTAAAAAACAAGGCTATAATATATGAATATAATAAAACTAGTTTACCAAGATTTCAAATAACAAAATGGTTATATAAATGCATACATTATACTTCCTAAGAAAAAAACCATCAAATCAAAGATCACAAAAATATTACCACAAAGTAAAGTCATAGCTTTTCACCACTCATCTTTGTCCCTGCATCTTCAGTACGGCTGTCTAATTCAGCAAGATCACTTTTTGATTCAGTATGGCTTTCCTGCATCACTGTGTTTCCAGCATCACTGTTCGAAGAAGTAGCTGTAGCAGCTTGTTCAGCAGGATTTTCTTCGCCCTCTACTTTAGCTAGCCTGTAACTAGTCAGCATCTCCTCCAGAAGTTGTCGGTAGTTTCCCCTATGATTAATTCTCATTTGCCTGAGAGCTTCCACCAATTTCCCCTGTGATCCACTTTCCTCTGCTTCATCGGAGGCCTTTTTTTAAGATTCAAGACCCCAGTGTCAGTAGACAAACTAGGATATCGCATGTATTTCATAACATATCAAAGCAAAAACACTCATTTCTCTACCAAGAGTAATATAGTCTAAGCATGAGAACATTTCATTAAATAAGAATCAAGTGTTACTGTGTCAATTAACAAAAATTTCCAATCAAAATACTTCAAATTATTTTTAGCAAATGAGCATCATGAACTATTAACGTCTTATTTTACATTGATATTTGAAGCTTAATCTGAAATTTACTTGCTAGTAAAATTCAACAGCAACACAGCATCTCCTAAAGGCAACTAACTTCAAAAGAAAATAATTGGCTATAATTATTTAGTACTAAAGGAAATTAGTGTTTAAAGTAATAGGAAAGGACAGAAAGCAGGCCATTAGAACATTAGTTTCTTCATTTCTGCTGAATGACAGGAAGGAGAGGAGAAACAAAATGTAGTATTATATAAACTAAATTTGGGGGGATTGTAAAATTTCTGTGGATAAAAATTCTACTTATTTTTGTCTTTAAATATTTTACTAAAAATCTCTAGATTGAAAAGAAATATTTTAAACATTATAAGAAGATATGAATAGTAAACTACTCAATTCTTTTATATTTTACTAATTTTGTAAAACTGACAGATTTCTCCTATAGTAGCTACTTAACCTTGTTTGCAGAACAAACTCTAATATCCAAGCTGATCATACTGATATACTGACAGATACAACTCAACCTTATAATATGTGCCTCCTGACATGATGTGCTAGGGAGGACAAAGCTATGTCTTGCGATCTTGCCAAAAAATGTTTAATTAAGCTAATCCCCAATATAATAAGAAAACAGGGAACACAGAATTATGTGAAAAAAAACCACAAGGAAACTATCATATGATCCAGAATGTAGGACATCCTATTTAAAGCTAGCTTAGACTTATTTTCAGGGTTAAGGGGAAAAATAAATTGGGAGCTTCGTTAAAGGCTTGCTTAACATGCTTGACTGGTTAACAACTACACTAGACCACGAAACAATTCTGACAGTCATTCTATGGACAACTGAGAATATGTGGACTTTACATTAGATGATATTAAATTTATTACCAATTTTCTTAGGTATAATAATTACGGTTATGTAGACAAATGTCCTCATTCTTAAGAGCTGTGTGCCAAAATACTTAGAGGTAAAATATTTGATCAGCAGTATGCTGTCAAAGGTTCAGTCAGTCAGTTAAAAAAAAAAGCCAGGAATGTACACATAGAGCAAAGAGAGCAAATATGATAAAATGCAAAAACCTACTGAGTCTAGGTAAGGTACACATATGTCCACTATGACCATTTTAATTTCTCTATTATGTTTGGAAGTTTTCACCACAAAACATTGGGAAAATAAAATACAAAAAGGCTACTGATACAGATCTGATACAAACTCTTAACCATCTTTGGAGGTTGTTACTCTGTAATTCTACAACAAAGGTAATATGAGTATAGTCATATAGTAAATGGCAATGCTTATTATTAGAAAAATGAGAGCTTGAATATTTTTTAAGTGCAAAAAGCAAGAGATAATACTGTGTGCAGCATACGTTTTATGTGTAGGCATATGTGTGCCCATATTTTTTAGGATATTATATGTAAAATGCCTAGGAAGAAAGGAAACACAGCAATACAGAAATGATAATAAAGGGTGATGAAGTTTCAGATGCTTTGACTACTCCAATTTTCTACATCAAGCATATTAACTATCAAAATAAATTTTTTTTTTAATTTGCAAAATTTAGTGTGTGAAGAGAACATAATAAAATGTGGTCTCTCAAGATTTTTCTCCCCCCATTTACCTTTGCTTCTGTACTAAATAAACATTATTTCCCTAAATACATTTTCTAATTTGAATCCATTCAGGAAAGGTTAAGATGGAACAATGAGTTAAATGCCTGCTGATCATAAACCTTATCAATTTTTAATCAGATCGTCCAAAAGGAAATTTTCTATTTGAGAGTGTATCACAAAGAACTTTTAATGGAGGGTATAAGACTCCTCTCTGCCCTCCAAATAAAAAGCCCTCAAACCAACAACTACCTTTGACAACTCCCTTGGACACTGAAACAAAATCAAGTGGACAATAAGAGAACTCAACCCTGGTTTCACATTAGAATCACCTGTAGAGTTTCTAAAATTATACAGATGCCAAACTCCAACCCATGATATTTAGATTCAGTGAGCTGGGATGATTTTCTTAAAGCCTGACAGGTGATTCTGATACACAGAAAAGGCTGAGAACGACTGATAAACTGTCTCACTTCCCTGAGCTTATTGATAAGGTTGGATCAAAGCTGTTAACGTGGATGTATCTCACACTCCATCTGACATCTTTATCATCACAGTAGTCATCTTTCTGTGAAATGCTATAGTAGTGGTATCTGGGGAGACAGAAGTAGTTGCTTTATACAAAACACACTAAAACCCAAACTCTAAAGTCAATAGGAATGGATTTACAATAGCCAATTGAAAAGAATTTGAGTTAATGACCACATTTAAGTCATTCCATATTATAGCAAATTACATTTTCCTATTGTGCTAGACAGCAGATAGGTGAAACCTCTCCATGTCATCTGATGTTTCAAAATACTGTTATACAACAGTCATGGATTTTCATTAATATGAGAAAATGAATCTATTGTTTAGCTGCACCGTCTTTACCTGAACTCACACAAAAGGTATCTCAGGTTGACACGTCTATCAGAGCAATTCATTCCACCTTGCAACTGTTGACAAGTCTCTCCAGTTACACTGTAAAATCTTTTAGACAAAGATAATTTCTATTCCTTTCTGTATCCTCCCAGCCACTTAGGGATGAAAAATTAATGCTTGTGCTAAGAACTTAATATACATAATTTCATTTAATACTTGTAGGTACTCTATTGTAATAAATACTGTAACTCTAGTTTTTATAAGGGAAGAAACTAAGGCACAGAGAGATTTAAGTTATTTGTCAGGATGACAATGCAAGTAAGTGACAGAGCTGATTTGTGTACAGGTGTAATCAACATTAATGTCCCTCTGAATGTTCTTCTGACTACATTATGGTAACAGTTTTGCACAGTAAAGTGCCTCATATAAATAGATGCTTACTAAATAAATAATTAAAATTATTGTTGAGCTGGACCACAAATTATTTCATATTGAAGTCTATAATATATCTTCTTATAATAGAAAAATTAATGAAATTACAGGACAAAAAAAAACCATATTAGATGGGAAGGTTTAAATTATTCTGCAAAATAAATTTAAGACAATTACAGACATGGGAATTTGGGACTCTTCCCTCAGATTCTGTTTTACTGTCACCTAGACTAACCCAGCCTGAGAATCAAATTTCTCATTATGAAAACATTGCCTTACACGAAGTAAGACCCAGGAACATAGATAAATCAAAAAAGACAGCAAAAGGCGGGGTAGGGAAATCTAAGCACATTTAAAAAATAGAATTTAATTAGCTCAAATTCATCTGCAGCAATTTTTTAAAAACATAGTCGCCATAAGCGAAACTCTTTCAAACAGTGGAGAAAACTTAAGGAATGATAGTATAGGTATTTACTGTGTGGTTTTTTTTCTTTTTTGGAGTCCTCATCCCTGCTTGTCAGGTAAAAATAATCTTTAGAAGTTTCTCAAATATGACTTCATGAGATACAAGTGACTAACAAAGAATCTAATAAATTATATATCATTTGCAAGTATCATGTAAACTTCAGTCAATCTGAAATAATTTTAAAGAGTCACTTAAAATGGTCAAGACCACAAAGCTATGAGGAGTATGTCAAATGACACCTTAAAAAATAGTGACTAAAATTAGTGTGTTTTCAAACAGTGTAGGCAGATCTCCATAAAAAATGCTTTGACAAGTGAAAAAGTAAATGAGAAACAATTTACAAAAAAAAACAAAACACAGTATTCAGAAAGTCCTAAAACTGTGATATAAAAATACAATTGATCTACTTGAAATAAAATTAAAAAGATTTGTCTATAAAATTTCGTAATGTGAAAACAGAACAAGGAGATTTTGGGGGGCTTTCGTTTTCTTTCCTCCCATTCTCAAAATCCAAATACCTTAGTTTTTTTTTAATTAGAATAAAAGTGTGTATTTAAATGAAAAATAACTAATAAAGACACTGGGCTTGACTGCTTAATCTCAACAAGTTTATAAACTATTCCTCATAAAAAATGGAGTATTTTAAGACTACTAATCATGAGAATTGGAAATGATTTTTCTTACACGATAGACAGAGGTGGGGTATAGACACATGTAATCTCTAGATATCTTAGAGAGGCTGCATGGGAAGGTATAAAGGGAACAGGTTTCGGAGGCACTCTGACTTACACTCCAATTCTAGCTACTGGATTCACCTAGCTTTGCAGCCTGGGCAAGCTACTCTTTTGCACCGATTCTTAGTCTTCTCTGTAAAGTAAGGATGCTGAGTTACCTACACAGTATGTAGATACAGTTACGCAGATATGGCTTAGCACAAGTAGGAGTTGGGAAAATACAAGTTCCTCTTTATCACTGAAGAATCATCAACTTATACAGCTATTTGATCAGTGGTATAATAATTCAAAAGTATTTTAAGTCTCCTTTGAGGGAAGAACTTACCCTTTTGGTGTGAAAAATATAAAGCTCAAATAATAAACTTTCCTACTCATGAGAACCTCAAATTAGTTTTTAAAATATATAACAAACTAGCATTTTAACAGAAGAGTGGGGGTTATCCCAGAGCCCTACATAATATAACAATAACTTAGAGCAAAATGTAATTTTTTACTTTTACTGGTCCCCTATGTTATTATTCTTTTGGGGGGTCACAGACTCCTTTGAGGAACTAATGAAAACCAGACATACACTAATCATTAAATAGTATTTATGCACACACATAAATATATCTGCAAAAACTTTTGGAGGATTCACAAACCCCTTTATTAAAATTTCAAGCTTGACTCTTTTCCAGATACTGATTTTAAAGCTAGGAAAGTATCAATGTTGCTTACATTAAGAAGACTGAACATATTCCAGAAAGTTGAACCAAAAAAAAAAAAATTAAGTAAAACAATTTAGAATTCCCCTAAATAATGACTTTCCTGAATATATTTTAAGTATATTCTGACTAAAATTCAACTCAGCTTTTAAAAATACTTTTATTAACCAAAAGACTTTTTTTAATATAAGAAAAATGAATGAATACCCATTTCTGGTACTGCCGATAAGAATTTTTAGCAGAACAATTCTATTCTTCTATCTTTGATATAAAGCAGACATTTTAGGATTCTAAATAATCTTTGATTTACTGTGACTAGCATTTGTATTTTTAAATACCTGAATAAAAAATTATTTTTATTTAAAAAATATTCTTAAAATGAGCTCCCTCCTGCTCCATACAACTATCTCCTCTTCTGTCTTTCTACCACACTTCTGTCTTGCCCATTCTGCAAGGTAACTCTATCAGCCCCTGCCACTCTGTACATCCTGGCAGCAACTTCCACTTGGCACAGATCTGACCAAGCTGAGAAGCATTCATGGAGCACTTCCGTGCTTCAAGTTAAGGCCTTAGAATTTAATCAAACATTATCATTTCCTCAGTTTTCTGGTTTTTTGTATTTTTTAGTACACTTCTACTTTTGATTATGGTTCAACATTTTTCTAAGGTTGTGATTATTCTGAAAGGGTAAAGTAATGTTTCCCAACATAGAATTCTGGGCTTCAAAGCATGTTTTTATAGTAAACAAGGAAGTTTCTCTAATTCACACATCTATTTACTAATGAGTTTACACTTAATATCTCTGTGATCATTCACAACTACCTGACTTCTAGCATCTCTGTAATCTAATACTGCATATGTTTCTAACAGATTAGAATACCACAGATACTCCTTTGAGTCTACCATTCTCACACTGTAAATACACAGTGGCTCCTTAAATATAAAGTTCAAAAGGTGTCTCCAGTCTCTTCAAAAATACTTCTGACATCCTGAATTCTTATTTTTCACCTTAGCAGTTTCCTGCTCTAGCCAAAATGACATCCGCTCTTTCAAAGACAGCTTAAACTTTGTTCTTGTCTCTTCCAATCCACATGAACTATAATCTCCCTCTTTTAATTTCTGCCATTCAAACCATTCTTCAAATCTAATCTTATCTCTGAAAATCTGACTTTCCAAGCAATCACTGTACAATTCACATGGCAATCAGTCTATATTTTGCATTTCTTTTTGTTCTTTGGTAAATGATGTGAAACCTTTTTATTACTTGTCTGCTTGTATCAACACTGCCAACTGCATTCCGGGTAGGGATGGGGGACCTTGCCTTATGTTTCATAATTTCCTCCCACACCAATTCATTACATGGTGGATTATCAGTGTTTATATATAAAGGTGATTAACTATACATTTCCTCAAATTGTAATCATATAATTACCAGGGCTCCCCTGGTGGCTCAGACAGTAAAGAATCCGCCTGCAATGTGGAAGACCTGGGCTCAATCCCTGGGTTGGAAAGATCCCCTGGAGAAGGGAATGGCCACCCACCCTAGTATTCTTGCCTGGAGAATTCCATGGACAGAGACTGGTAGGCTGCAGTCCGTGGGGTTGGAAAGAGTTGGACATGACTGGGCAACTAATACTTTCAATTTCAACTCAAATAATCATCTTTAAGGCCAGTTTTATATCCTGAGCAGCTCTCCTCAGTTTTATGGTTCTGTTGCCTATTTATTCACTTTTTACATAGCTACTATGTATAATACATATTTTCTATTTTTAAAGAAAGTTTAAAAGTCATCCTTTTGTTGTTGTTCATCCTTGGTATATGTTTAACAGAAATTCTGGGTTATAAACTTTTTTTTGTTTGGAATAAAAGCTGCGAACTTTCTTGAGAGACCAAGAAACCTAGCAAGTATGTTATGAAATAATTTTTCAGATTACACACTGGGGCTGCATTTTCAAACATGTGAGGGAACAAAGTAATTACGTGGCTAATAATGAATCAATAACTACTGGAGGGCTTACGTCCTCCAACCTTGGTAGTGGCTGCTACGTGGAACCTATAATCTAGCTGAAGAGGTAAGGCTCTCTTTACCTCTCAACTACCACCATCTTTCTTGACATCCTATCCTCATTTTGTTTGGTTTGGAGTTGTCTCAATGCATCAGATGATGTTATCTTTATTCTTAAATTAATTTCCACAGCTTTGGACACAAGTCTTAATACTTTAGAGGTACCTGACACTAAAGAAAGTCTCAGAATCACTGCTCTAAACCCAGGTATAAATTCTGTTATTAGCAATATATAGTATCATTTTATTCAGGTAACTAAAATGCATTAGTTGTAAAAATGTCCCTTTTTGTCAATGTAACTTTTATTGCTAAGAAAAAAGAAATTATATGATATTGCTGTGCAATAATGAAGCCTGGAAAACAATGCAATTAAAATGACACATAATTACTACCAGTGGCTAAGAGTGGTCTCTCAAGACCTGCCAAGAGGAGCTGGAGCATGGAGGTTATTTCCTCTCAGTAAGTTTTATTACTAAGTTTGGCTCTCTTAAATCTTTGAAGCATACATGTTCAAATTAAATTGTTCACTTTTAGATGTCCGAAAACTCTACGAGAAGACAGTTATTTGGATTACTAACTTTGAAATTTAGGGCGGTTATTTTTTTTTAAAGGATACTGTTTGGCCTCCTAGTACTAGTATTAAAACAAAATAAAAAAACCTACAGGAGCAGTTGATCAGCATTTCTAAGGAAGGCAAAGGGACAAAGAGCTTTGCTCTGATGAAGCACAGCAGAGTACAGCAAAAAACGGTTGCCCCAGTTCAACATGTATACCCAGAGCACAAGAATGCCAGAGTGAAATTATTCTCAGGTGTTCAACTGGGCACAAAGAGGCACTGAAAGGTCTAGTCTGTAAATAAGAGTCTGAAAGGTCTAGTCTGATCACGATCACTAACTTCCAGTGATGGCAGCAGCCTGCTGGAGGAGAAATGCACACATTTAAAAGCACATTCTTTGTATGCCTCAAAATTAAGATTTAAGGGAGAAGGAGAAGGAAAGGCAAGACATACAGGGAAGAAATAAGTACAGCCCACACAAAAAGGTATTTGATGCCCATTAAATGACAACAAGCCTATCTACAAAACAGAACTTTAGCTCTATCTTCCACTTCAATACATTTCCTTAAACTTTAATTGACTCCTTAAAATGAAAATCAGTCACTGTGTATATGTATATTTATAGCCACTGTTTAGATAATAAGACTATTTAAAATACTTAAGAAATAAAACAAAACTTACCCCATCACTTTCTCTATGTGGATTCAGCCTACTATAAACAGCTTCAATAACATGGCGCCTAAAAAAAATTATGCTTTAGTTTTATTAAATTACAGTTATTAAGCTTCTGCATATTTAAAATAATACTTCATATATTCTTGACTACAGTCAAAAATTAACTGCCTCAATAAATACCTGCCAAGAACAGTTTCTGCATTTCACTCAGAATTTGATCCTGCACAATCCATTTGTTCTCATTTACTAAGGGAAGAAGGATATTCAGCCCCAAAGAATATAATAAATAATGCCTTAAAAATAAAATCTTTTGGATGAAATTAAAATGTTCTTTTCTAGCATAAGAACTGTCAACCCATTTCATCTTTAGATAATTAATGTACTTCTAACCCCAAATTATTTAATTACTAATTATAAATGAAGTCAAAATTAGTTCTTTTTGTTCTACTTACTTGCCAGCAAGACCTCCCCCAGGAGGCAAATTTGGGATATTTTCTGCAGACAAGATGCGCATGACGTGGGCAAGATCAGGCATCCCTTCCTCACCAGACTTCTCCATAATTTCTGCAGGTTTTTAAAAAGAGTTCCTAAATTAATGTGGTAACTCAGAATTTGCAAAGTGAAACAAGAGGTACTACTTGGCAATACTATCACACAACGAACAAAAAAGATAAGATAAGAAGTTATTTGCATATATATACTCATTCTAGCATTATTCATAAAAGCAAAAACTGGAACATTTAAATGTCCAATAAAGGAACAGTTAAGAAAACTTCAGAATAGCCACTGAGTGAAATGGCTTATAGTCACTACAATGATCCCTATGAACAAGGCATAGCCACACGGAAACACATTTTTGACCCATTACATGAATATATAAAAGTTATTAATGCTATAATTAAAGGAAAACAAAAGCAATAGAAGGATAAGGATTATAAGAAGGGAAGATTAAAATTTGCTTGTAGGTTTCTGTCTAAACAGTATGTTCTATAATCTATTTTTGCCTTTATGAATCCATTGCTTTATTATTTTCACCAGGCACAATTTATTTAAAACAAAAAAGGAAAACAAATCTCAAAACTTGCTAATACATAGAACAAAATAAAACATTTATATGTTTCACTTATATTTACAATTTCCAGAAAACAGATTCTTAAGGCATGATTTATCTGGCCAGTATCAAGACAATAAACTTCTTGAAAAATCAGACAACGGCAAACTTACTCTTAAAACAACAAAAAAGCAGTGTCCTAAGCAGCCCTCAAGAGGCAAAATCCAAATGATTTATCATGCATCCCTCACAAGGACTTCACCATGACTTTAACTTTCACTGCTCCTATTTAACTCTGCCCCGACCCCTAGCTATATTGCCATAGGAGCTATTCAAAGAAGTCTTCTCGATTTTCACATGTACTTCCTCCCTTGGTCTGAAACACTTTTAAAACCTATTCAACCAGCCCTTTTGTATGGTTAAAGTGTATTCATCCTTCACATTTCAACCTCATGTGTAACTTTCTCACATCCTTCTCTGACCCATGCCTGGATAGGAGTGTCGCTAGATACTCCCACTGTACACGATATTTACTAGATTACAGACTGCAAACGTCATGAAGGCAGGACTGTGTTTTCCTACCTTACACTCTATCTCTATAGTCCGAGAATTCTCAACTTTAGCACTACAGATGTTTTAGACCATTTTTGCTGTGAAGGTTGTCCTGTGCACTGCAGAATGTTAAGGAACACTCTGGCCTCACTGGATGTCAGTGGCACCCTCTCCTTTATGAGACCAAATCTGTCTCCAGACATTGCCGCATGTGGCATGAGGAACAACCTCCCCCAGCCCCAAACCATTGCAGTCTAGCACTTCACCAACCAACTTTCACATACCACTGGTGCCGCTGCAGTCCAATCCTCCCCCACCACCTGTCACCTGCTTCAGTGCACGATTTCTAACTGGCTTCTTAGCTTCCTCTCTCCTGTCCCTCTTTACAATCTCTTCACAGAGCAACAGAGAGAGGTTCTTTAAAAAGTCAGATCAAGTTACTCTTGCACTCAACGTCTTCCATGCCTTCCCAACACTATTTAAATAAAGTCCAAAGTCCTCATTTACGTCTGCAAGAGTCCTACACGATCTGCTCGTTAGTAATTTCTCTTAGTCTTTCACTTTTCTACCAGCTCTTTCTAATCCAGCCATACACTCTAAGCACATTCACTCCTCAGTTCTTATTGCTCCCTTTGCTGGAGTGTTCTTTCCCGAAATCGCCACTCTTTCCCATATACAGTCATCTGCTTAAATGTTTTTCCTCAAAAAGACCTTCCTAACCAATATTTCTTGCTACTACTGTTTGCCTACTGTTCTGTTTTCTTCTGTTAAACACACACACACAGCTCTCTACTAGATTATGAACTCCATGAGATGAGGAACATATTTGCTTTGCTTCACACACACACACACACACACACACAGGTCTCTACTAGATTATAAACTCCATGAGATGAGGAACATATTTGCTTTGCTTCACACACACACACACACACACACACACACACACACACACACACACACACACACACACACACACACACACACACAGGTCTCTACTAGATTATAAACTCCATGAGATGAGGAACATATTTGCTTTGCTTCACACACACACACACACACACACACACACACACACACACACACACACACACACACACACACACACACAGGTCTCTACTAGATTATAAACTCCATGAGATGAGGAACATATTTGCTTTGCTTTCTGCTACCTTCCCAGTGACTCGCATGCTCAGGGACTGCTGAAGTAATGAATACATGCAGAAGGCATTCACCAGATATCTAATCAATTTAGGTTAAAGACTACTTAACATCATACCTCCCCTCTGCACACCCAATAAAAACACATACACAGACTTGCCAATACACCAGAATGCTTTTACCTCAAAATTCTAATAGCAGATTACATGACTTTAAACCCTAACAGAAATATAATGCTCTTGAAGAACAATTGCTTATAAAAAAGAAGTTAGGTACCAAGGCATATTGATCTGTAGTGGCTGCTTTTTCAAGGATTTTAAAGAGTTTTTTGATTGATTATAATCAAGTGTCTGCCACAGGCCCCAAGATCACATCCTATTAATACGTATTTGTTATCTCTGTCATATAACATACATTTTGGATAGTTTAAAACCATACAAAATAATATTAAATGTTAACAACCCACATTGAGCTGAACTGACCACACATTTAAGAAATTAAAATTTAGCTGTTACAGAAGAGTTAATAAAAGCTACAGTTTGCTGAGGACTTGTGTGGTAGGCACATTACCAAGTACTTAACTAAGTTTTAAACAAACTGTTTGGTTGGTGTTTTTACCTTTAGTTCACAATAAAGAAACTGGAGCCTTAGGAGATATTAGGCAAGTTGGTCAAGATCATAAAACATGTAATTGACCAAATTTTAGAGTTCTTCCCCAAATGAAAACTATCTAGTTTCTTTTTTGTGAACGAGGAAATAGGACAATAAGAAACTCTTCCTCATCTTCTCACAAATTTGAGCCAGCAACCTCCCACTCCAATACACTCGACCTTTCAGAAAACGTATGTTATTAAAAACTCCTATAAACAGCTCCTCTTAATAAGTATGACATTATCAACAAGAATGAATGAATGCTTCTGACATGGTCTTCCAAGTGTTTTCACATGTTCCTTATCTCTCCATTACACTGAAAACAAAACTTCACTGACAGTTCAGGGTTGAAGAAACTGCAGACCAACAACAAAAAAACCTCATGGCACCTTTGTTTAGGATGTGCAGACAACTGTAAAGCTAGAAAAGATAAATCAGTCCCTCGCCACCAAATCTGCAAAAGAATGTAGTTTTCTTTTGGTAGTTACACATTTGAAATTGACAAGTTTTGCATTTCAAAACTTTTACCAATTACCACAGCTACTATACATCTAAAACATGACTCATAAATAGGCCAAATCAACAAGCTGACCACACCATAATCATTTTATCATTCAAATCTACTATTGAAAAGTAATAATGATCAAGCCATAAAGGTGTTAGGAAAAAATATAGGTCAATATGTAACCCTGAACTTGCTACTCAATATTATGTAACAACTTAAAATGGGAAAAGAATTGAAAAAGAATAGATACATGTATAAGTGAAACACTGGGCTGTATATCTGAAACTATCACAACATTGTTAATCAACTATACTCCAATATAAAATAGTTTAAAAAGTAGCACATACAAAACTAAAGTATTAAACCAGAGATCCTGCCATAGACTCTAAAATGTATTCTCTATCACGGTAACCACTAAATGATTATCTCAAAGGATGTATAACTAATAAGCAAATGCAGGGATGAACTCAAATAGAAAATACTGATTAACCCAAAAGGGAAGAAAAAAGAAAAAAAGAGAAAAGAATAGATGGAACATATGTAAACAAAACAATTTAAACCCAAACAATTACCAAATTATGTTGAAGTTAAGGAGACTAGCTTTCCCCTCTCTTATTCCTGAATAATGGATTTTTAGTCCAAAATCTATAGGAAATTTTAAAAGAATTATTTGACAAGCAAGGAATAATACTTTTGCTTTCCTTCTAAATTAAAAAAAAAAAAAAGCATCTTACCTTCCACCCGTGATTCCAAGTACTTATCCAACTCTGAGTCTTTTCTCATTGCTTCATCTGAGACCTTGGGAGCATTTGAAAAGCAAACTAGTACAATACTCATGTTATCTCGACTTCCCTGCATATTAAAAAAAGAAAATAAAAATTATACTTCTATAGTCTAACAACTATTATTTACTTTAAGCAATTATTTAATCATCCAGAATGTACACCTTCAACACATTCATTTTCAAAGAACTATTTGAAGCACACCTTGAAGAAACAAGGACTCTTAGGTATGGGTAGATCATAATTATTTTAAGATTTCTATATCTATGTACCTCTTATTTACCTCCATTCCACTACTTGAGAAATGAAGATATCTTCATACATATTAAATCTTCTAAAAACTCTGTTTCCCACTCAAGACTGCATATTCCCGAAGTTACTTAAGCCCAAAATGCATCCTCCCAAAGAAAATATGCATCCCCCCACCCCACCCCCCAGCTAATTAACCTGCATTGGAGCAATGCTACTGAAACTCTACTAAACTGACGTGGATGAAAACTGTGGATTATTAGGATACCCAAGACACTAAACTAAACAAGCAGAGAAAAAAAGTTAAACTGGAAACTGTTCTGAGGGTATAGTCTCAAATGACCAAACAGATTCACTGTAGTCAGATGAAATAACTTTGGAAGAAGTAACATCAGACAGTTAGTGTCAGGATTTGGAGAGAGCAGCTTAAACTACTAATGAAGGACTAATTTTACTGCTGCCTTTTTAATCACACCATCACAAAAGATCTATATCAAAAAGGAAACACGGGATAGACACTACTCTATTACCACGAGACTATAAGCAATAAAGCTAAAACAGTTTCTTAAAGGTATATTACTTTTACTGAATTTCTTAAAACAGAATAAAACTGTTCTTAGAAAGAATAGTGATTTTTTTTTTCACTCCTTTTTTTTTTCTATCTACCACTCTAAAAAACTAAGTCAATGGAGGTGGGATTTGCCAACCCAAGTGAAGAGAGCCAACAACACACCCATGCTACTCTTTTCAGTCATCATGGCCAGAATCTAGGTGAGCACTGTTTGGTTAAGATTCGCCACCTTTTGGGGACCCACATGACACAGTCAAACACAGGCAGGCCTTGAAAAACGACTGCTAAACCTCAATGGAGCAAAGTTTGAAGGCGGTATAGGCTGAGTCTTAAGAAGATTTCGAAAAGAGTAATTCTCTATACAAATTCTTATGCTTTAAAAGAATCATCATGAATATATAATTCAATTCTTAATATCTGGGGGAAAAAAGAATCAGGATTCCCAAACTGGCCCAAATGAATTTTATTACTTAATGAAACCCACCAAAACTTTCATAATGACCTAGTACCAGAAATACTACATTGGCGGGCACTTCCCCTATGGTCCAGTGGTTAAGATTCTGCGCTTCCAACGCAGGTGGTATGGATTCGATCCCTGGTTTGGGAACTAAGATCCATATGCCATGTGGTGTGGCCAAAAAAAAAAACCAAACTACATTGGCTATATGAATATATATATCCACACACACACACACACACACACACACACGCACACACACACATGAAGATATACACATACATATCTCACATATACACCCTATGATTCCAAACAGCAATACATCCCATAGGAATAGGAATCAGGATTTAACATGTAAATTCAGGTCAGGAAAACTCTTTATACCATAGATATTCAAGAATCAAGCATCACATGAATACCAATAACTTTTTAAAGAAATTTTATGAATAAACAGAACACCTTACATTTTTAGAAATCCAGTTTCTTCTATTCTCTATTTTGTTAACAACAGTATGAGCATTGTTTACCCATTCTTAATCTATCATATATATATAATTTCCATTAGATTTTTGTAAGTTATAAAACATACATCCTGTTATTTGGAAAATTAACTAAAAGATAATTTCAAGAAGTTTAAGTACCTGAAGATATTTAAAGAAAATAATTAACATAAACATCTCAGCATGTGTGATTTCAATGATGGTACTTCTATTTCTACATAAAGATGATCTTCCCCTAAATACAAAGTATGGGTGTATTTCGTTAATTTTTATATAGCGATTGAAAAAGAGCCTTCCCTTTATGCCTCTTTCGTTTTCTAGAGATAAATCATCCTTGCATATTCAGTATACATTTTTTGGAAAGTCCACAAATGAAATATGCAAAAATCCACTTGAACAATTAAAGCTATCAGCCAGATGTTTAAAAACTGATTACTTCAGCACCTTTTCATTTTTTAATTTTGACAACAGCACAGCAGCAGTACTTAAAGGAATCAGAACTACTTTAATAGATAGTTATGGGTCAAAAGCTTGGCGTGCTGCAGTTCATGGAGTTGCAAAGAACAGACACAACTAAGCAACTGAACAATAGGTCAAAATAACCAGTGCCCCTGCCATAAGTAAGGGTGTCTAAAATTAATCAGAAAATAATTTGATGCTGTTAGTTTTAAAGTTGAATGTTGCATGCTTCTGAAACATTCTGGATCAAGTCCTGAACACAGCATATGAAATGGGCTGCGAACAGAATCTTTAACACTACAAAGTTGTAAATGAGTATCTGATAAATGAACCATACATATTACTCATTCTTTAAATCAATTTTTAAAAATCTGCCACTCACTGTAGTTATTACATTTACACAGTGTTCAAAACAGCCAATTTTAAGGAATAGCCCAAATTTCCACCTACCCATGAAAGACGAAGGCTATCATTACTTCCTTTCTAAAACACTCAATTCTCCCACCATTCCCTTCTCTTGAACTTGTATTTCCCTTTGCACAAATTTACCTCTTCATTTCATAACTGTCATCAACAGAACTAAAATTTATTGAGGACTATAAACCAGATACTGTTCATGCACTTGCCAAAAGCTATATCCTCAGCAACTCCATGAAGAAGATGTTACTATCTCTATTTTATAAAATGAAGAAACCCAAGCTTTGCACCAAGTGGCAGAGCACAACTCAAAACCAAGCTGTGTGGTTCCAAAGAGCGCATGTCTAACACGGAAACGGTGGTTCTAAACAGGGGGCCAGAGAGCCCCAGGACGCCACACTGTGCTCAGAGACATTCTAAATGAGGGCGGGAAGGACACAGTGATGTTCAGTATCTGTGAACACTCCAAACTAGTTCGAGGTAGTTCACACTTCTAACATTAGATAGCGCTATATTCCTCTCAATGACATGCTCTTTTCCCAAAGCGGAGGTTCTGGGAGTTACTGCACTGCGATTGAAGTCCTCCAAGGGTGACAGTCCAATGATCCCAAGGCTTGAGAAGTTGTGCTACGTCCAACAGGTGCACACATATCGTATCATGCAACTATCGTTTTTAAAGAATGGAATAAATGTTTTTTCCACGTATGTGTATTATTTTGTTAAATATTATTTGTACACTCATTAAGTTTGGATCTAACCACTTAATACTTATAACTCTTAGATATTAATATGGTTAAGTAGCACTACAAAAAAACTTACTGAAATATTCAGACACCATCAACAAAGAAAGTTTCAGAATTTCTACATTACATATACTGTATTTTTACATCCTTATCTTCCATACTTCAAAAAAACCAGCCACACTCCACTCTAATACTATCTATGTCTACTTTTGCATTATTTATGATTATATTTTCTGAAAACCATAATCAAAAAGCTCCTGAGTTTAGGGTTAAACAACTATTTTAAGTGGGTACAGAAGTACATTTTTCCACGTTTCATCAGTGATTTAGATTGATATTGCCTTTGGAAAATGTTATTAATTTCCCCTCAACATAATGCAATTATCAGGCATTATATCTCATGCTTTAAAATAAATAAGCTTCTAATAGGTGGTATATAGATTGATTAAAGCAAATCAAATTATAATTTTTAAAACCTTGAACAAATATTGAGTTTTATGATTAAGAAAAACAAAGAGCTAGCAAAGTAACATGCATACATGATCCTACTTTTTATACTTCTATTTTTATGAATAAACACAGAGAATTATTTGGAAGGATATATAGCAAACTGTAAACAGTGGCTACCTAAAGGGAATGAGACTGACAAGGAGAGACATAAAGATTAATAACTTCACTTCAAATATCATTTTATGTTTAAATTTTTTTTTAATTTTTTAATAACTGAAAAAAGAAAAGGAAGGTCTTAAAGTTTCCCTTGGGAAAAATTTTTTTCACCAAATCTAGTGGGAAACTTCGGTAACACATGCAAAACTTGACTCAGAAAACCTGAATTCTAGACTCTGATTCAAGACTCATCAAATATCTGACTTCCAGCTTCTCTTTTTTTAAAACTCTTTTATGACAAACCTCTATTTCCTTAATTACAAATTGGAAATAAAAATTTTTACTTTGTTCCCGTCAAAGTTACCATGAGGATAAATAAAATGAATGTGATTTGTAAGTTATTAAAGGCCATGCAAATAGCTATTACATGTTCTATTCCACGGGCTTGCCTGGTGGCTCAGACAGTAAAGAATCCACCTGCCATGCAAAAGACCTGGCTTTGATCCCCGGGTTGGGAAGATTCCCTGGAGAAGAGAATGGCAACCTACTCCAGTATTCTTTACCTGGAGAATCCCAAAGACAGAGGAGCCTGGTGGGCTACAGTCCATGGGTCACAAAGAGTAAGACACAACTGAACGACTGACACCTTCACTTTCATTCTATGCAGCCAGAAATGAGTTAGCATAAACACCAGAAACGCTACTAGCACTGGCAGTAAAGTGGAAAAGCTGCTTTCTTAGGGACCATTTTCCCTAGAGTTAATTATCTAAATAGGGTAATACCTGGCCAGAATCATCCAACTCTTGTAGCTTCAAACTACTGAATAGCAATTCTGAAAAGTGACCATCATAACAACAATAATGCTAGCTACCTGTTACGGTTGTTGTGAAAATTAAATAAACTAAAATGTGTAAAGTGCTTAAAATAGCATCTGGCTCATAAAAAGCAATTTATTGATACTACTGTGATTACGATGGTTATCATAATATCCCAACATTTCATGAGTTAACATATAAAAATCCTGTAAACTATTAGGGAATGACAAGTGTTAAAAGTGTTAGAAAATTTTAACACTTATTTATTTATTTATATATAGCTGAACCCCAAGGCTTGCAGGATCTTAAGTTCCCTGACCAGGAATCAAACCCAGGCCCTGGCAATGAAAATGCCAAGTTATAACCAGTGGATCACCAAGAAATTCCCAACATTAACTTAAATCTATTATCAGAAAAAAATCTTAAAAGCATCTAGTTAAAAATTCAATCTACTCCATTCACACCTTCTCCTAAAGCAGCTAACACCTGGACCTAGAGATCATACCTCGACCTAGAGTATACTTATTCCACAGTGAAATATGTCAGACAGAAAGACATATCAACGATTGCTTATACGTGGAATCTACAAAAAAAAGTACAAATGAATCTATTCACAAAACAAAAACTGAGCCACAGGTGTAGAAAACAAACTTAAGAGTTTGTCAAGGGAAGGGGGAGGGATAAACTGGGAGACTGGGATTGACATACACAAAACAGGGAACCAGACTCACTCTGTTGTACAGCAGAAACTAACAACACTGTAAATCAACTATGCTCCAATAAAAAATTAACTTAAAAAAAGTTGTAAAATTTATTCTACCACACACACACACACACACACACACACACACACACAATCAGCTAATACTTACTGAACAATTGCTCAGGGCAAGCACTGGCCAACATGCTTTCCATGGATTTTAAAATTTAGATTCAATCTTTCAGACTAAAGTGAAAACAATCATGTGCTCTATTTTAATCCTAGTGTTTTAAATATTGCTAACTGGTGGCTTTACAATATAAACTAGTGGAAGGACAGTATTTTGGAGTCAGAAAAACAGGAATGGATAAGAGCTTTATTTAATTCCATAAGTCACATGTGGTGATTCAAAAAATTCACCTCTATTCTATTTCAACACAAAACAGCTAGCTAGGCATCTCAAAACTGATTTCAACATAAATGTAACTTCATTCAAAGGCACTACATGGTCAACTTCATTCAACTAAATTCAATACAGAGATGTGGCATTCCAACCCTTTGTCCCTCTTTACTATCATTAATTTCTAAGATTCTTCGACTCTGCCTAGAATCGTTTAACACCATCAACAAAAATATTTAATCACTTTGAACCAATAAAAACCATCAAAGGAAGATACACCACCAGAATCATTTAAACCCCATTCAAAATGGTTGGGTCAAAATTCCTGAAAACTAATATCCTTTACAGGAAAGAGACTGTGCAGTTTATCCAGAATACAAACTTCTCTCCTTACTCTAAATTACAGACATAATAGATTTCTGGCTATCCCCTCAAAACTACATGTCATTCTGCTACACAACCATGAAAAATGATTTTGATCGATAGATACAGACATGGAGATCTCTCTACAGTATACTGTTGAATTAAAAAGCAGACTGCAGAATAAGTACAATGAATTCCTTTTTATAAAAATATACACATTCAAGGCAGGCATAAAAGATGAAAAAAATAAATACCACAATTAAGACAACAGCCCACTTAGGTCAGTGGCAAAATTTTCGAGTGTTCCTTTACATATTCCATATCACCTTAAAATATACATATATATCCTATGTTATCTGGCCTTTTTTTCAATAAACAAACTTTTTGTTTTAAATAACTGGGGAAAACAATTGTTTTCAGTTCCCAGTTAGGCAAAAAAACACAGGCTCGCTTTCGTCTCAAAAAGCCGCATGTCAGAATTTCTCCATATAGAGTCCAAAGAGATAGACAATTTTAGAACAACTTACTATTTGATCACTGACAACCACCATTATTTCTGTACTTAATTCATCCAGAGAAGCAAAATAGATACAACATGCTTTAAAAACAAACAAACGAACAGCAGAGTACTAGAGATATCACCAAGAAAAAAGCTGGAAAACCAGCCCTTTTATTTTCTCTTTTTGAAGTTGTCTCTTCCCATCCTATGGAAAAGTACAAGATACTTCAACAAAACCTGAGTATTTCCATAGACTCAGAGACCTTTAGAGAAACCTCCTGGCTATGCTTGTATCTTTCACAGCAACTTACATGGTGAGGAAATAAGAGTGGCTCTAATCTAGACAGAGACAGTCGGTCAAAATCTTTACATCACATAACCAAAGGTCAGTTTTGTCCTGATAGCTTCTTCAATCAGAGTCACAGAATACTTACATATTTTAGCTTCTGGTCAGATAACTCAAATTTTAATTGACTGCTATACAGATGCTGTCGAAAGCGCACTTGAAATTACTGAATATTTTAAAGACATTAAAGGAAATTGCTAACCACCTGTTAGTTTGGATTCTCCTCTCTATTACTCTATCGAAATAAGATTCATATAATATTGCAAATGTAAATTAAACTTTAGTGTTCCGCAGGAATTCTTAACAAAACTACATTTTATACTAGTCTTTGGTTTTCTAATTGGGAATGACAAAGGCATCTCTATGGAAAGAATTTTGATTATCTCCTATAAAAGTAAGATATTATCCACCTGTCATATTTACAGAGTCACACAGAAATTCCTTTTAGGTTTTATGGCCAGAAAAAGCTTCTTTTCCTACTACAGAATATATAACTCTTACTTCAGTTTCTATCAGCTGCTAGTAAGGCTAGTAGGCTCAGAGCTAAATTACAAAATGTTACTTAGTTTAAGGCTTCTGTTATATCTTCCAATAGTTTATGTGGCTCTTGGTCTTTTGTGTATCTAATATACAATCATGCTCTCACACTCTTTTTTTTTTTTTTTTATGAAACTGCTACATAATCAGGCATAAGACAGTTACTGCCGGGAATTCCTTGATGGCCGAGTATCAGGATTCCAGGCTTTCAATGCCTGGGCTCAGGGTTCAATCCCTGCTCAGGAAACTGAGATCCCACAAGCCGAGTGGCCAAAACAAACCAAAAAAGACAGGTACTGCCAATGTTGAGAATTTTAATCAAGTCACAATTGTGTATAGATGCCTCTGCCACAACAAATCATAAAGAACTTAAATAACAACAAATGCCATAAATTTATTAAACTTAATTTTCAAATTAGAAGGTTTAGACAAATGAGGATGGCAAAAAAAAAGTTCATTTCTGGGGAAAAGAATAACTTTAAAATATATAGGACTAGGACTTTCCTAATGAAAATATTAAAAGCTTTAAAACTTTACGTTTGCTTAATCTTACTTACCATGCCTTTTAAAAATTAATAGGGCATTTTAATTGTAACAAAAAAAGACTTACATACCTTATGTAAACAAGTGTCCACTACCCAATTGCACACATTTTCCAGGTCATCAGATACCTCAAGCCTAGATTTAACAAATTCACAGAGCTCCTCATTACTCATAACATCCCAGATCCCATCACAAGCCAAGATGATAAATTCATCCTCTTCTGCTCTTAAAATTTCATAAACCTCAGGCTCTGGAGAAACAAGTTGTTCTGTTGGGCCCTTGCCATCAACACACTTGTAATCATAGTCCCCCAGAGCACGAGACACTGCTAATGAACCATTAACACGCTGTATCATTACGCTGCCTCCTGCATTTTGGATTCGCTCTTTCTCCCTTGGGTTGCAAGGTTTGTGATCTTGGGTAGAAAAGCAGACTTGTCCACTCCTATACAGAACAGCCCGTGAATCGCCACAATTGATGAAGTAGATGTGCTTAGGTGAAATCATAACTCCCACTGCAGTTGAACCGCTCCTGTCCATGCCATTTCTGAGGTCTGAAAAGTTACGCATGTATTCATCAATTTTCAAAAAGCCAGTTCTGATACCATTCTTGACGTTCTCCACTGAAGGCTCCAGAGCAGACCCTGACTTTCCAGCGGCCCTGAAGTCTTCGTTGTTAGTGATGTGTTCTAACAAGTGTGTTGAGCAGTAATTTGCTACTCGGGATCCAGCATGACCGTCATAAACTGCAAAAAACGACCAGTCTTCCAAGCCGTGCGGAATCCCGACAACGGCTGTGTGCGCGTCTTCCATTTCCACTCTCCACCCCTGCATGCTGCTCAGGCCATAGCGCAGGCCGTTCCCAGCACCGTGAGCATTGTGTTTCTCAGTTTTGGGTTTGTCCAAAAATGCACCCATGTTTAGTAATAAATCTGAAAGGGGGAAAAAAAATGTAGATGTTACATATTTAAATTAAGAGCATTTATCAACAACAGTTCATCTGTTTTCTAGTTAACTCCTAATCTCGTGTATTTTTCATTATTATCAAAACTTATAGGAATCACAACAAAAAAGAAACCAAGCAAACTGCCCTAAACATCCTTCTTTTAGAACAGTGGTTTCTCAATCCTTACACACTAGAGTCTCCAGGGGTGGGACCCAGATATTATTATCTTTTTAAAAATGCCTCTCTGGTGATCCGCATGTGCAGCAAGCTGAAAACCACTGTTGGAGGAGAAAGGAAAACCAAGAAACAAAACCTGTTTTTTTTTTTTTTTTAATTTATAATTTGAGGGTTCAATATGTAAGACAGAACAATGAGAATATTCAAAACTTGGCAACATCTTGCTCAATTTATTAAGGTAGAAAAGTATGCTAATACATTTTAGAAATATTTCCAAAAGTTAAGTGTTATAATCAAGTATATTCCCCCACCAGAGATCTTGACAACCCCCAAAATTAATAAAAACAAAATATCAGTTTTACAAGTATGTGATTCCATCTAGGTTGTACTGCACATCAAATAAAGAACTTTACTTGGACTGACGCAAACCCATTAACCCATAAAAACGAATATAACTTGAATGATGTGCTGAAGAGCATACTACTTAATATTGCCGAGTTTCACAATCCATGAAGTGGCATTAGGACAACTTTTACTGAGAAAAAAAGTAAAAGTTAAAAAAAAAGTGCTTTTACTTTTACCCATTAGAGAACTGTGAAATCCACTACACATCACCATCCTCCCAACTTCACTTTTAGAATAAAATCTTTTCAATTTTAAACGGCCTGGACTAGAGCAGTGGGAATGAGAATGCCTTGATATGTTTGCCATATACAAGCCTGGCACTAAGACTCCCGAGTTGTGTGACCTTAGTAAGTTTCTTAGTCTGTTAAACCTTAAATTCCTCCTCTGTCAAATGGGAATAATAACAATAGTACCCACACCTGACTTCCCTGGTGGCTCAGACGGTAAAGCATCTGCTTACAATGCAGGAGACCTGGGTTCAATCCCAGGTCAGGAAGATCCCCTGGAGAAGGAAATGGCAACCCACTCCAGTACTCTTGCCTGGAGAATCCCATGGATGGAGGAGCCTGGTAAGCTATAGTCCATGGGGTCACAAAGAGTCAGACACGACTGAAGTGACTTCACTCACTCACTACACCTAACACGGAAGAATGTATTAATATATAGTGCTTAGAATAGTTCCCAAGACATAGTCAACACCACAAAATGTTTGCTGTTACTATTTGCTCAAAATGCAGATTCCCACACCCCCATTTCCCCGCCCCCCAATAGATCTTGTATGGGGTCTTCAAAAAAGCATGCTGGTGATTTAAGAATCACATTTTGAGACATATTAGTGTAGATCAACTTACTTTCATTTGACTCTAGGTATCTTTGAGAGAGCTCTTTTTCAGCTGTAACTGTTACCTAACTACAATAAAACTATATATTCCTATTCCTAAGAACCCAATGAACCACCATATATAATATTTGTAAATTGCAGCAATTTTATAACTTTTCATTATATACTAATATACTAATTATGTACTAATTATTAATACAAATACAAATATTTATTAAAAGAAATTTTCAAAGGGCAAAGTTTTACTCTTACCTAAAAATAACTTCCATTCAAGTATAATACAAAAGTATTGGTAACAATATAACAGAATGTGCTTTTTTTTTTAACACACTGGTTTAATACTCTGATACAATGATTTTGAAAGCCTGGTTCTAAGTATATTTTAGATACTTTTTAATGCCCATTTCAGCTGAGAAAACAACATCACCACCTTATAAAGATATCTAAATGCAAGTGAAACTGAATTGATAACTGTATTTATCACCCACTCTTCAGTCCCAACTACCAACTACAAAAAAAGAACTTTGTTATTTCCATTATCTTGATGTTCTTCCAATTAAGGTGCTGCTGTTTCAAATTTCAACAAATGGGCTCAAAAGTCACCAGAACTCCTCATTTAGAAGAGTTTTAAAAAGAGTTTCAAAGTTTCTATCATCAAATTTGTTTTTAATTTAGGAATAAAGGAGAAAAGGGAGGCGGGAGTTTCTTTAACAGAAACTATAGAAGACTCTTACACCGAAAACAGCCTTGCCTGGGGCTGCAGTGATTTCTACCTTCCGTTTGATTCCTTTCTGAAAGTTACTTGCTCAAGATTCAAAGTCCAGGAAACTATTAACTAATGGACTGAACTTTGGTCACCGGCACACTGGCTGTAATCAGGATCATATTCTTTTACAAATTACTACTTTGTTCTAAAGCTCAAAATTGATCTCATTTTAAAGTTAGTGTAGTCCTCTAATGATTTAATTATTTAATCATGAAATACCATATTTTATACAATGTATACACACAGCTAAAGAGTACTAAATACCCATATACCTTCCAAATAGCTTAAAAAATACAACATTATCAAGACCACTGAAGTCTCTTCTTATTTCTGACCTTTATAACTAGTGTTCTTCTAGTCTAACCATATTTATGTTGTTTAGTTTTATATTTGACACTTTACACTGATGTAAAATACAATATACATTACTGCTGCAGGCGGCACAGCAGGTAGGGATGGAAAGTGGTCGACGCACTGTTTGGGAAAAAGAAACTAGAGACAGAATTAAAGTTTTAAAGATGGGACCTCTTGGGTCAAGAGCCCTGTTCCTCAGAGCCACATCACTCTTATTTAGTGTCTTGGCAAGCAGAAAGTATCTGTTGTGCTACGATGAAGTCAGCCTCCTGCGTCCCCGGTCACGTCTCCAATTTTATTGGCTACTTTAAACTGTGTTATTTTCTTGTACAAGGGCTATCACCTAGCTGGAGGTCATAGACCTGCACATGCCTTGGGAAAACATCTCAGAGTGTGCACAAACACGTGTTCTGAACTTGCGCTGACCCAGCGTTCCAAGGTCCGCACTGTGTTTTTTCTTAGCTTAGCGGAGTATAACAACCCCAACTAATCAACCCGATGTACTGTTATTTGGGTTATGCTATATTCTGCTTTTGTTCTTTTCCTATGGTGATTTTCTCATGGTTTAGCCAGAGCAACAGGCAGCTGACTATTCACCCCTGTAGATCTCCCTTTTTGTTTTTGTAGCAGAAGATATGTTGATCTCGTAACTTTTTTCTTCATTAGTTCTTGGAGGGTTTTTCGCATGCATCTAGGGACTAAACAAGATTATATAGCGATTTCCACGTAGGCCTCTGCAGGACCGGGTTCTGCCTTCCTTTTCTGAGACAGGGTGACCTAGGAAAAATAGACTCTGCTTCCTGTACATAGTGTTTCTGCAAAATGCCTGGATTCATTTTGCTTGGGGGAAAAGGCTGAAGATGGGAGTCCACTGAGGAAGGAAAGCCTGGGTCTTCAGCACCACATGTGCCAGCCCAGAAGCAGCAGTGTGAAAACCTCTATAACATCTGCAGACCCCTAAAAATTAAGGAGACTTTGATTTGGACATTCTCAGTAGGAATGGTTAAAGGCTAATGGGACCATAGAGAGATGCCAGATGCTTGATAGATCCTGTAGTTCAACTTAATTCCTAGAGAGAAGCTGTTCATATGATACCAGAAAAATGAAATTTCAGGAAACTAGACTGGAGTCTCACTTCTTTTCCAGCCCGGAACTCTTGGGAGCTGTAATCCTGGATATAGTAGATAATAATAGCATTTTTGTTTTATGCATGAAGGTGGATGATTCTTCAAATTAAAGATGGACACTGACTTTTCTCACCAGAAATGGTTTGTAAGAATCAACTTGCAAAAATTTAAGAGGCAGTAAAAGAAAGAGTAAAATATTTTCTTCTATCATTCTTTGATTCTTTGCTAGATTGTAAACTTCATGAAAGCAGGATAACTTGCTTATCTGTAATGCCTGACCCAGAATAGATTCTCAAGAAATACTTGAAGTTAATTAAAATATCTATAGAATTTTGGGTTTTTTTTGAATCTTTGGAAATGACAACCATTTTAATGGCATTTCAACAAGATTACATGGAATACTTGGGACTTCAATTTTTACTTGATAAACTACCTGGATAACAATGAGTCTTACTAATAACTTCTGTTATAATATGAAATCTATTCTCTAGATTACGATTCTTCTGTTAAAGCAAATATAAATATCAAATTAGATTTAGAGTAGATGATGCTGACTATCTCAGATTCAAACATACTAGGAAAATTATTATTTCTGAAGCTCTTAGAGAAATGTGGTACATAATATAGCCAGTAAGTACTTATAATATCTAAACAAGATCAAAATCAAACTTTATGGTAAAATACCAGTTAAATGGTATATGATAATGAATGCACAAATTGTGCTGTCAGAGTTTATCCAGACTTTTTATGTTAGGAAAAATGGATTAAAGATCTGTAAATGGAAAGCAAAACTTCAAGCCTATATAAAAGCAAAGACTATGGCACTGTCATAAGGCAAAAGAAAAGACTGATACATTTGTATACACTAAAATTCAAACTTAAGTTTGCATGCTATGTAACTGACAAAGGCTCCATTTAAATCAAGAAAATGATCAAAGGATATGAATGGGCAATTCATAGATGAGGATCCCTAAGTAGTCATTCACATGAAAAGATGCTTAATCTAACGACTGATAAAATAACTTTACATTAAAACAACACTGAGATTCCATTTCACTGCCATCAGATGGGCAAAAATCGAAATAGAATAAATGAACTCTGACACTTAAACATGTTGCCAAGGCTGGAGTTGCTGGTAGCAGTGAAATTAATTTATTACTTTGGAGAAGGTTTGGCAACATCATTTTTTTTTTTAAGATGATTATACCCAATCTTTGGGTATTCTTAAAGAGTTCTTGACATGTATACTCAAGGAAATGGGCACAGAAAGTTTATTGCAGTAAATATTTTTAGTTGTAAAAA